GGGACTTGAGCTCGGAATGCGACTTGGGGGAGCTGCCGCGAAGAGAGACGGAGCTGAGGGCTCGTGGGGGATGCGACGGCAGGGGTGGAGGGGGCGGGAGTGAGCCTGGGGGTCGTGGGGAGGGGGCGGAGACGGGGTGGAAGTGAGACGACTGAGGAGAAAGGCGCTGGGGCTGCGGCTGGGGCTGGTGAAGGGGTGTGCGGGTGTGGGGGGTGAGTCTTGTGGCTTTGAGCAGCTTCTCCGAAGAGGACGTGGCTTAAGTGGTAATTGGGGGTCGCAGGAAACTGGGCTGGGAAGGGGGAGGCAGGGAGGCGGAGACGAGAGGCCCAAGTTGGGGGCGGGTGCAAGGCTCTGCGGGGACAGCCTGGATGCGGTGGCGGGGGAAGGGGTGCGGGACCGGCCTGGGGCGTCTGCCCGCGCGACCGAAGCCTGGGGAAGGGTGTCTGCGGGAGGGCGGCGCTGGCACCCAGTGGGCGCTTAATAAGTGCGAGTTCTGAACCCACTGAGGTGGCAGCCCGCTGTTGGGAAGCGGGGAAAAGGGAGCTGGAAGAGGAGCTATGAAAGAGGGTAGAAGCCGTGACAAGAACTGAGGGTGGATCCAGGGAGGAGGGCAGAGAAGGAAAGAGCTAGAGTGGCCCCGTGCAGATGTTGGGGTGCAGCCCTTGGAGATTCGGGCCTTTCCTTCCCCTCTTGATTCATCTCCTTCCTGATTTCACACCCAACAGCTGGATGACTTGGGGCAAGTCTCAGAACCCTATGGGCCCGGTCTCCTGGTCCTGGGAATCTCAGGAATCGCACCACTCTCCTTATAAGACAGGACTAGCTGATTCTGGGGGTCCCTGGGAGCAAGAAAGGAGCCTTAGGCCTCGGTGGGGCCGGAACTGTGTTTCAGAAGGGAGGGAGGCGGGTGTGCAAGCACCCGCATGTGCAGGGCTGTCGCCACCTCCGCGGAGTAGCATCCTTGGACTTAAATGGGTAAAACGACATACAGGAAATCTGTCCCCCAGGCGGCTATGAGATCAGCCCTGGAGAGGCAGGGCTGCCGCGTGCCCTCCCGTCTTCCCTGGGCGCCCTGTAGGCCAGGGGTCTCTAAGGGAAGGCTTCTCTGTGCCTCTTTGTTTGAGATGGGAGTTGGTGAGGACATTGGGCCTTGCAGGCAGAGAGTCCCAGCTCCTGCCTTCCCGAGATCATTTTCTGAGTCTCTAGAATCTTAAGGTGTCCAGGAGCTGCTGGAGGTGACCTGGGAAAGTTATCTTACCATCTCGCAGACTGGGTTCTGGCGTTGGCTCTGACGAGGTTCTTGGACCAGGGTGGTTTTTTTTTTTTTTTTTTTTTTTTTTGTCTTTTGTCTTTTTTTTTCCGTGTCCAGCAACGGATTGCAACCCTCAGTGTTGCCCCCGTACCGGACCAGGGACCGGCAACGGGATCGCAAGCCTCGGTGTTGCTCCCGCGCCTCGCTCACTGGGAGCCGGTCTGTATGTGGGATCCGAACCCTCGGACGGGAGCGCCGCCGCACTTCCCAAGCGGCGCACTATCCAGTGCGCCGCCGGGCCGGCCCGGACCAGGGTGGTTTTGATTGGCATCTATTTCTGTCCTTTCCCTACTGCAGGGATTCTTATCTGGGATCTGCAAGAAGGGTCAGGGAGCCTGGGTTTGTAACTGGTTTATTGATTGTTCAGGAGTTGAATCTGGAAAGTTTGAATATAAAGAGGGCCACGGAGACATAACCACCCCCTTCACTTCCAGAATGTTCCAGCTTTTATGGGAGGTGGGTTTCGGCCTCTCTTGCCCCAGGAAATATGATTACAGCCCACAGTCGTGCCTCCTGCAGACACTGGCCATGGGCTTGCCCTAGCCAAGGCACCCTGACGAACATGACCAGAATCTCCTGATCCTATGGCCCTGCTGTTGCCTTCTCCCTGCACCAGGAGTGTGGTCAGGTGGGGTGTCATGGAGGGAGCTTTGTATATACCGTGCAAGTATATACCGTGTTGGGAGTCCTGGCCTCAGTCAGGTCTCTTTGCCCATTTCTTCACCTGCAGAATGAATGGATTGGCCTCCATCAGGGCTTTTCAACTTTGAAAACCAGCCCCTGTTGTTACCCTTCACACCAGTGTGTACTGTTGTGTCTCCAGGACACATCCTCCCTTGGGTTTTGTGCAGCCCCCATCTCTCAGTTCCCCATGACAGTGATCCTACTTTTGTTCAGCTTTCCACTCTACAGTCTATATCCAAAAATGATTTTTTGCTGTTTCTCCATCTCTGAGTAGAAAACTGCCATGTCCGACGTGCTTTTGCACAAGGCGCCTGTTCCCAAAGCTTTGGTTGTGACCTTTTGGTTGGAAATCCCTGGACAAGACTTTCCCTCAGGTCCAGCCTGGTGACTCCATGGAGCAGGTGGGGACTTGGGAATCCCCCCTTTCTGTGTGGCCGTAGGGGGGCTCGTGAGCTTACTGTTTCCCTTTCCTCATCTCTGCGAAGTGGTGTGTCGTAGGTAACTCGGAGTTCAGTTAAGTGAGGGCTGCTTGTGCCAAGCAGTGAGCTGGGTCTCAGGGACAGAGATAAGCCCTCAGACTCTGGAGAAGGGATGTTCTAGCGGGAATCCCCCCCCCCCCCCCCCCCCCCCA